GTCTTTTTGAAGATTTTTTGTGGAATTAAATGCTTACATCATTGTTGACAAGGATTGACTAACTTCACCTTTTTGTAAATGTTTTTTAGGAGGTCTAGCAATTTCTTGACTACACTGTATGAGCCCAAAGCAGCCATCATCACCATGCATATTGAAGGGTCTTTATAGTTATTAAGTGTCTCTGATGACCTCTTCATAATGCTTCAAGCATGTTCTTGCTCACTCTTCACCTGAGTGTTCTCCTCCCTCCATGGTGATTCTTTCCAGAAGAAAAACTTCATTCAAACAAGTGGAGATTTCTTTACAACAGATGTAGTCCTGCATCTCATCATTCTTGGGTATCCACACTTTATTGTCAAAGGTTGCTTTTCCTTCGTCCCACAATCCCTGTGTATGATAGGCAAGGTGGACTGAAGCCAGCACAACAGCGCTACCCATCTGGGGAAGCTCTTAGTGGTGCTGGCTATTTCACCTGGAAGCTGGGAAAGATGGGAAAGGATGAAACACTGAAAATTCAGAAAGCCACATTCAAGTTTTTTACATTTCATTATAGCGAACATAATCCTAAAAAGTCTGCACCTCTGTCTTCTATGTACATACAGTATAACAATACGTTCTTGTCCTACAGTGAAAGTCCTACTAGTTCAGGTACACTCAGCTAGAGGGGTCTGAGGACGTACTCTCTACCGTTAGTATCCAGTGTTGTGGTGGAGGAGGCGAGCAGGGTTCTCACAATCCGTGATCACAGCTGTGCAACCCAGTCATTTAAACAGGGTCTCGTTTGCTTCTACTTTTCTGTTCAGATGCTTAAAAGTAATTGTATGTAAAGTAGTGACCTAAAACATTGAATTATTTTATTGTATTTACAGTTATTCATTATTTTTTATATTTATTCATTAATAAATTTTGTAAATATTGGTGGCTCTACCGTGTCATTTATTGGAGCCTATCTGTGATATAAAACTGTCATGATTTACTGTGAGTAAACTAAGCAGACCTTTAACAAATGAGCAGAACTCTTCCACTGTGTTTGCTGACGGCTATTTTTTCACTAAAATCTCCATCACGCTGGCATGCCCTTCAAAAACTAGTAGCTGGGACAATGTACACACGCAAATAAGATCTGATAACAGATAAAGAACGTTATGATAATGGACCTCCTGTTTCAAGTTCATCTCTCACTAGTACTGCAACAGTAAAAGCCATTTAGCCATTTTTCTCTTTTTTCTTCCTTTTGTGATTCCTTATTTTCTTTAGTGCACAAGAATTTTCTTAAATGGTATCTTTTCCTTTTTTTTTTTTTGTTTTTAGAAATGTCATTAACAATGATATATTTTATTTGATACAGTAGTGTTATTATCCTGTATCATACCACCAGCCTTTAAGGAAAATGCACCAAACATTATTCTGACAGCCAAGAATATAAATACAAAGGAATTAGATGAGGGGAAAACACATCATGATCCTGAAAGACAATTCCCCACAGTGTTGAATGTGAGCGTAATATTGAGGGCAAACAGATCTGCACATGTCATAGTCCTCTTACCTTTTTGACAGCTTTCTACCCTGGCAAGCTAATGAACGAGATATATGCATTGCTGCGTACACCTGACAGATATCAGCAAGGGGCTTTTATTTTTGGTGTTGCAGCTATGCAACTACTGTTTTCTTTCACAGCAAGGTTTCTTCACATGCAACTCTGTCTTTAAGTCTTGGTGGGATCACTTTAAGGACATTTGCCCTCTGGTTAAAAAGCAACACCATTTATTTCTAATAATCAAAATCACCTTATTGCCTAATCGTAATAAAACTGGAAAGCACAGTGTCCATCCAAGGGAGAAAAAAATGAACTTGTGTAGTGATCTGCTAAGAATATTCATGTCCCATTTAATTTGTTTAGACTCTTTCATAATGATTACTGGAATACTGTTCACCTGGAATTATTTTACTACCTGTGAGGAAGATGTTCTTAAACACTTGTTCATCTAAAAATCCTATACAGCCCACTGCTAGCATAAAGTACCATGTCTTTCATCAGCACGCAGTCCTGCCCTGCGTTAGTGGTAATCTATGCACCTTGCCACTTCTGAGGGTGAGAGTGGGGGTCATAGAGGACTTCATTTGGAGCTCCTTGTCACAGCCAATTTCTGGTGCCAGGGCATCTTTCTTCAGCTGAACCAGTAGATTTCAGCAATGGATAATACCATTTTGAACCTTTCATAATGCAACCGCCAACGGAGTACAATGATACCGCCAGCTACTACAGCAAATTAAGCCATAAGGAGAAGAAAGAAGGTGTAAGGTGGGGCGGGCAGGACTATGAAAGTAAGCAGTTATCTCCCTCTCCGTCCCCTTCTCCCTCATCTTCACACCCCTTACTGAGTTCAGAGGATGTCACAGATCTAATATCCCAAATATATCTGTATCATCCGGTCATCAACATCCCATAAATGTTGTTACTCTACTGTGGGTGCACAATTTAAATACCACACGCTACTGGTGCTTTTTTATACTCATACAAACCTGTTTTCCTACTCCACTTTCACTGGACTTTAGATATTAGTTTAGCATTTGCTTTGCAACCTTGTCTGTCTGAGGCTTTGTTATCTCTACATTATTGTCTCTGCAATACACACTTCAGGTACATCATCTACATAACAATCCTAAAAGCCTTTTGCCCCAAGAGCTAAAGCGAAATGCTTATTTGAATGAAAAGCAGCTCTGTTGAATTTAGAAATCCTACTGCAGAGAAGTTGAGACGAAGGGTTATGTAATATGAAGTTGTTATTTCTATCTTTTTTAATGATTTAAAGTTATCAGATGGTATCTCTGTTGCAAATCTTCTTGGAGAGGATAACTATTCATAAAGTAACGCTATAAATTTTATATCACTGCTGGATTAGATCTACAAAACAGTTCCTCTGAAAAATGATAAAGAAATTAATTACAAGAAAACAGGTTTTATTCTAAGTTGTTAATGAGACAATTCATAAAGCTGGGATACTGACAGCACAGCTCAGCTCTAATTCTCTTAAATTCTATTTCTATTCAGTTAAAAAAAAAAAAACAAACAACAAAAAAACACAACGCACTACAGAAAACTTATCACTTCCTGCACTCATAAAATCTGTCAGATTTTATGAGGATGGATAAAACTGCTTAAAAACTTCCCAAAGATTAAGATGAATGTTTCAAAGAAAAGGTTAAGTCACTCCTAATTTTAAAAAACCTTCTGCATTTTTTATCACAAAACAACCCATAAATGGTTCTAATTTCTTGTCCAGTAAATAGTCCTGGTGGAAGGTGGGGAGTGTTTGCCTGTACTGAGCCTCCCAAGTGCAGTTGGGAACATTAACTCCTGTGTTCATCCCTCATTGGATCTAAGCTTGAAGGTAAATTTTCCAAGTGCTGTATTTCAGCTCAACATCAGTGATCAACTTTCTCCTTTCATGAACATCTATTTTACTCTTTTGTGCTGAGTAAATTTCTGCATTTGAAATCTGAAGCATGTTTAATAAACCCTTCCTTTCCATTCCTGATGCTGAATATTGGTTTTGGTACTGGTGAAGCTGCTATTTACTGCCATTGCAGCTGTGCTAAGACCTAGTCAAGAGTCCAGGCTTCAATGAAAACAGTGTCTTGTGCAGAAGGAGTTACTGTCTAAGGTCTTGACTTCTGCACGGTGTGAGGACAGCTGAGTCCCCGTGTAGAGAAGAGGGAATGTGCTGGGGACCCAGTGACTGCTGCAGCTTCCCTGCGTGCTCTGCGGTACTGGAGCAAAGTTTAAGCCAGGCAGCGAATGATGAAAATAGAACAACATAAAGTTAAAGGTCACCTGCATCAGTTATACTGTGACCAACTTAGAATAGTTAAGGCTAGCTTTAAACAACTCATGAAGTTTTAAAATGAGACAAATTAAGCTTATTTTTTATCCTTCAGTTATTCAACTGTTAGGATTTAAAGGTGGTCTCTATGGTGATTAACATCAGTGCCTTTTAGAGGGGCAAAAATCCCAATCTGAGTTTCTTCTACAATTTTCTAACTGTAAGACCTGAGGCTTTTGAAGAACTGAAATATCATGTTCATGATAAAACAGCAGAAATTGGAAATGCTCTAATGAGATATGTACATTTTCAGTGGAGTTGAGTGCAACTTTGTAAATGTCAGTACTTCCAAGAAAAATCCATTGTGAAACTGAGGAGGGGCAATTACCCTGAGAAGTTTGTGACATTTTGTTTAATTTGGGTTCTCTGTCACTTCTGGCTACTGGTCAGAGTGTTGCAAGCAGAAAGGTTAAGAGAAGGGGATTAAAATTCTGTGTGGGGGACAGCGTCACACAAATTCATAATACTCCAGCCACCAGCAATCAAGAAACAGAAGCAACACATGTATCTGCATGATGCTCTCCCCAGCTTCATTAGTCATGTCTGCAGAGAGGATTTATTGCTTCAGAGGCAATGCCATACTGTCTCAGCATCTGAGCTCTGAGCTGGTATTTCTGCTTGAGCAGTGTCAGCCCACTGAAATTTTGCTTCTGGCTCTTTGTGTCATGCTCCATTGTGCAGTATAGGCATGGTCTGCAACACAGTCCTGCCCTTCGCGCTGTCCTCAAGGTCACCTCCTTTCAGGTTAGAGTAGTATCATCCCAGTGTCTATAAAACACTGAATCCAAGATTTTCTCCCCAGAGCTCAGTGAGGCTTAGCATGCTGCAGAGATGTGCTTATACAAGGCAGATTGTGATTTTTAATGTTGTTTCAATTACCTAAAGTGGAGGATGAAGAATGTATCATCTAAGTAGAAGGTGCCAATGACAAGCAAATGTAAGGAAAAGGAAAACACTGATTTCTTCTACTAGAACTATTACAAATGCTTTACTAAACTCCACTCAGGATCACAGGTGTGGGTGTGTGCTCTTAGGCTCTGAATTTCATTTTTAACAAAGTTCTTTTCTTATTCCTTTGAATGATTAATGTTGTCTCTTTTTCATTTATCCCCTCAGTGATGGCTGGGCAGACAGGTATGATGTGACAGAAGGGTATCAGCGTGAAGCTGTCGGTGGAATAACGATCAAGCTCCAGTCTCCTGATGTGAAATGGTTTGATGATTACTACCTACAGCTTCGGCCAGAAACCAACCACCGAAATCCATGGTTTCAGGAATTTTGGCAGCACAGGTTCCAGTGCCGGTTGGAAGGCTTTCCTCAAGAGAACCCTAAATACAACAAGACTTGCACAAGTAAGTGAATTTATTTCTTCTGCTGTATAAACCAGTGTGACTGAAGGTCTGGTGTAAGCAGCTCATGTTCAACTCATGCTGCCTGGTCTGGTGGAACAGTGGGTGGGCTTGGAAGGAAAGAGGCTTGAATTGCAATCATTGCTCTTTCCAAAATGATGACAACCACAGTTTTAAAAGTATTCAGATCTCTAAAGAAATAGATAGTGCCTCAATACCTGCCTCCTCTCTGCATTTGAAAAACTTGATGCTACTCTATGTCCAGAGGCATCTTAACACTTTCAAAAATGTTGTAATCCAAAATTCCATGCTTCTTTTCTGAAACAGGGTTAATCACATGGCTTTACCTCACAAGAGCAATGAGAAAGTTAATATACTAAAAGTTATCTGAAATCCATATGGTAATGGTGATTACTTGTGTACTTCAGATAGAAGACTAGCTAATTTGAAAGATTTCATTAGGTTTTCTTTCAGCCATGAGTTATTTCAGGAAATGCCATTTTGAGCTGATCTTTTTCATGAAATTGTACTGATTTATCAAAAAACTGCCACAATATTTTGTCATTTTTTGCAAAACAGTGGCAAAACCATTTTTTTCCCAGAAAGATGTAGTACATTTTTCGGGTTTCATTGGAGCGAGTCCAGAGGAGGGCCTTGAAGATGATTGAAGGGCTGGAGCACCTCTCCCATGAAGACAGGCTGACAGAGTTGGGGTTGTTCCGCCTGGACAAAAGAAGGCTCCGAGGGGACCTTATAGTCCCTTCCAGTACCTAAAGGGGACCTACAGGAGAGCTGGGGAGGGACTCTTGATCAGGGAGTGGAGCAATAGGACAAGGGGTAATGGTTTTAAACTGAAAGAGGGGAGATTTAGATTCAATATTAGGAAAAAATTCTTTACTGTGATGGTGGTGAGACACTGACACAGATTGCCCAGAGAAGTTGTGGCTGCCCCATCCCTGGAGGTGTTCAAGGACAGGTTGGATGGTGCTTTGAGCAATGTGGTCTAGTGGGAGGTGTCCCTGCCCATGGCAGGGGGGTTGGAACTAGATGATCATTAAGGTCCCTTACAATTCTATCCATTTTATGATTCTATAATTTTTTTTTATTACTTCTGTTAATTACTCTTTATTTCATGAGAAGCCAAGCAGTACTAAGGCAATGGGCATCCTCTCGATGTTGGGGCATAAGGTGGTGCCATGCTGGACATTAGCTCAACAACAGCTCTAAGACCCAAAGGACCTTTCCTCCTAAAAATGACAATATCTTCCACACACCCATGAGACCAAGAAATGGCTTTAAGGATCAAAGTCTTGGATTTACACAACACAAAACCCCACCCAAGTCCAACTTAACGTTCATAAATCATTCTTTCAATTAAAAAGTACAGGTGACGGAGGAAGTTTGTGGCTGAGCTGGAAATTTAATCTGGGAATCCCAAAATCTCAGTGTACACCTTCAACATTCAACTGACTTTTCTCCATTATTTTTATTTTGCTACCCTTTCAACACAGCCTGACACAGGTTTTATTTGCACTATTGACAGGTACCGCATATTGAGCAGTAAACTTCATTGATTTCCCCGTGATAATGTAGATCTCTTTCCTGAGATGTCAGTACAGTGGGCATGGCTGGATACAGGCTAATAAAGACCTGGTTTCTGTCACTGTGCTGTGTTAGCAATGACATTTCAACTTGACTTTTCTTGGTTTCTTTTTTTACTTACTTTTTACCAGCACTGGGAGAATCTAATTTCTGTTTTATATGAAAGATTGGGAACTGTGAAATGTAGTTGCCTACAAAGTCTTTTATAGTGCCTAAATCACAATTCACCACTGCAAAAAATATTATCTCAGGGGTGCAGGGAGATGTTATTTTAGACATGAAGTCACCCAGTCATGGATATGAGACAACTTAATCATAAAGTTTGAATAGCTTGGTTTGAACAGCACTCATCGGTGGAAGGTTTCCCACAAAGAAATCTTGAAGGAACCACAGCTCAAAAAGGTTCCTAAAACCTAGGAATGTCAGACACACAAAGAAATGTGCAAGAATTGCAATCTGCTGATTTGCAAATCATGAACAAAGAAAAGGACTAATTTCCCGAATAGATTGTTCTAATTACTTTTCCTTCAGCTTTATTGTTGTATTCAGTGCTGGACCACAATGGCTATAGTGAAAGAATGAAAACCAGATTATAATAGCTTTAATTCCTTCTTGTTTCTGTAGGGTGGAAAATGTTAATTCAGTTGTGGAGTTCCCCAGATTAACACCACTATACGCAAAAATCAATTAAAACTTCCCATTTAATCAGGGTTCTCACACAGGAAGACGTGAGTCATCATGCTACTCAGTTTTGTAGCTTTAATTTTGATCTAGACCATCTGTCAAAATTCATATGAAAGAAATTCAAAGGTTGGCCAGAAAGATGGTATGCAGATTTGTCTAATGACAATTTTTTGCATCATAAGTTCTAAGACACCTATGCCATTTTTCTCATAATATCCCCAAAACTAGGCAAAGGTGTATGGTAAAGTGAAGAAATATTGAAGTTTGACAACTTTGTGGATTTACCAGCAGGAAAGACACAAATGTATTCTCTGAGAATTACAGGAGTGAGAGGTTTTAATGTTGGGAGTTTAACCTCAAAACTGACATGAATTTTTGAGACTGTCATGGTAGGGGTTTTTTCTACCTCATTTCCTATCTTCCATATAACTTTGAAAATCATGACTTTATATCAATTCCTACATTCATATTTGGTTTCTTAATTTCAGGCACTCAAAATTTTGAGTTTTAAATTCCCTCAGTTTAGACTTCACAATTGTAAAGATGATACTTGCCCTCGGTGGTTGCAAGTATTTCATAGACTGCCTGGCAGTTTCTGCATGATGATGAACATATTAGTGCTGTTTCAGATTTATCCTGATAAGAAAATAGGACTGTGTCCTTTAGTTTACTTAACTGGCTACATTCTCTTCTTCAGCAGCTGCATTAAAAAAAAAAAAAAAAAAAAAAAAAGAAAAGTTAAAGATGTTTCTTAGGATTCCAATTAAAGAGACTGAATTTATTGAGAATGCTGGAAAGAAAGAAAAAATCTATTTTTGCCCCAAAAGGCAAGCAATTATTTAATTCTTTGGATAATGATAAAAAAGATAGATATAAAGCTGATTAGTGTTGACAGATGAGGTCATTATTAAATGGAGGTGTCTATATAGAAAGTAATAACCATTACTTTAGTAAAAAAAAAAAAAAAAGAATTATTCTCCACAACCTGGTTGTGCTATCTTGAAAAAATAAACAATGTTCAACAGTATAAACAACTTATTTAAATAGCAAGAAAATAAGCACAAGAAGATATGGCTGAAATTTAAATAGATAATTGACTTTGCCTGTGCCCCAGGTATGAACTTCGTTGTTTAAACCTTTGTATTTACTTTGCTGATCCCTGCCTAGTAAAATGGTAGGCTACATTTACCTCCGTGACAGAAAATACATGAAGTCATAAGCCAATGAAGCCACAAGCCAATGAAGCCACCTCCAGTGACTTGTGAGGGTCTTTTCATTTTTTAATATAAGCTATCCACAGACAGTCCCAAGCAGGTATTATTATGAAATGAAGACGCAATTTTGTAAGATATGCATAATAAAATTGTAAAATCAGCCAAATAAAGAGAATAAAAAAAAAAATCCAAAATAATTTTTTCTCCATTCATTTCTATCAAGCACTAAAACATCTCCACCCCTTCGCATACACTTAGTTCACAATGAGGTAAAAATTTTAGCATCAAGCCTACTTTCCATTTGCAGATTTGAACATACTTAGTTAATCCAAATGGGTGTCACTGATGTTGCAAAGTACATTGATTTTCTGCCCAGCTGGAGCACTACAGAAAGTGAGAAGTCTGGAGACTTATTTGACTTGATTTTCAGTGTAATCAGTTCCCTGCCACAGGAGAGCTGCCACAAGCCACCTCTGAACACCAAGAGTCACAGCAAAGAATTTAAAATGCATCTTTAAAAGGAGACATGTAATGGCCTCCGAACACAAGGGATTCTAGAAGAATTGGATTTGGCTTCCCCTCTGGGAAGTCAGATATTTTTTTTTTATTATCTAAAGCCACAATTCAGTAAAGTTCCTAAATAGGTGTGTGAGTTGATCCAGATGAGTAACTCCACTCGACGACCATCTTCAGGTCAGAAAAGGCTAATCCAATCCTTTGGTATTGATTGCCTTTGGACTTTTGAAGACTAGGTGCCTATGTGCTTGCTTTCTTATAGACAAGTGTCCCCACCAGAACTCAAACTCCTCCTACTTTTTCCTCCTAGTGAGGGTGTTCTACAAATGCATCTTAACACAGAGCAGAAACAAAACCCAAGGCAAGCAAAGTATGTTGTGACACGCTGGCTCAACTGACGTTAGTAGAAAAAGTCAAGTTTTAAAAGTCACCAGGAGCAGAAGCATATTTATTACATTTACCAGTCTGTTAAATGAATCCTTTTGCCTCCAATGCTAAGTGATCTCATTTTTCTCGTGCTGTGTGAAAGCCATGGAACAGCATTTTTTAAGATGTTACGTAAACATGGAGCAAAACCAGAATCCACATCCCAGGTATCTGTGATCTAAGTGTAAGACAAGAAAAAGCAAATAAATAGAGGCTGATGCTGATGAAGCAGTGCAACATCTTAGTTTGACTGGCAGAGGTTGCAGACCAGAAAAAAATGTTAGTTTCATGTAAAGTCACAACAGAAACAAGAACCTGAAAGAAGGTGATAGGGCATTTGTGCAGATATTTACAGCAGGGTCCTGACATTAAACACTGTGGTTCAAAGCAGGAAGGTAGAAAACACCAAGGGAAAAGTTGGAGGCTGGGTGATCACAAAGATCAGCCACAGAGAGGACAGAGAGGGCATGGAAAGTGAGGAAAGCAGCTTATGTTTGACGTGCTTGGGAGCAAGGAGCCAGTGGCGGGGTTTTATAGGGAAGAACATGCTCAAAGTGGCGA